AATGCCGGGCTTCAAACTTCAGAAAGGAGACAAAGTAAAAATAGAAATACCTAAACGCGACCCATATGAAAATACTATTGACTATGACAACAACAAGTACCCGACAGGTACTCACATTCGTGTTCGTAAAAATAGAAGAAAGTATACAAGAGAATATTATGAAGTTTTAGGCAAACATGGCAAAATGTACAGACTGCAAGCAGAAGATAAAACGACTATTGTCAGACCTCGTTTCAAACTTGTCAAAGTTCAAGGTGGTATACTTTCAAAGACAGTTCCTAACAAATATAAGACAACTCCTGACGAATATGCTAAAGAAGTTGAAAATGACGACTAAGCAATTCTATACCATGCACAAACTGTCATGTAAGGTGGCATGTATTTTTTACCTCGTCCTGTAGATGTTGTTGTAAAAGTATGTTGGTGGTTTCCAGTTGTATCTGTCCACATTCCATTCCAGTCTACTGGGTCGTTTGGAAAATGAGTTCTTGACATAACTTGAATTTGCATTGAAGTCTGAGAAACAGTGTATATTTGTTTGCAAAACCCTATGACTATGGTTTCCATTAGAACTTGTTGTACCAGAATGACTATGTGGTGGCAAGTTGTCGACAGATATCCTTTTGCTTCCACCTGTTTCCTTTTGAAGATTTGCACAATACAAAAACCTTTCGAGTATTTGTTCCCATGCACCAACACCAAACATTGCTTGAGGACCTCTTTCATCCATAGATGTATAAATAGAACCTACTGGGTTCATTAAATCAAACATATGAGATATTATAGGATTGTCTCTTTTGAACTTAAGATATAGTGCAACTATTTCAGGTTTCTTCTGGTTTGTGTCAGAATATTTTTTATAATATAATCTTATGTTTTCAGGGTAGGTAAAATCTTGACTATAATATTTATTTCTGTCATCTATATAATAGTATACTATTCTCGTTTTTTCTATTGCATTATATCTTTTATATCTATAATATTCTAAATATAATGTTTGCTTTTGTTCATCTGCGTGTAGTGTTCCGTCTTCAGCACCATAGTCATAATAATATGGTGCCGGAGCTGGGTCAGGCAATGTCATATCTGCCATTTCATAAACTCTTAAATATTTCTTTTGTTCGTCTCCATATAAGTTTAAGTAGCAGTTGTTGTCTAATGGAACTTTAACTTGTGTACCATCGTTCTTTTTATAGCTTACATACATTTCATTGTTATTTTTCGGAATGAGTTTATACCGTATACCATTTTTTAAGGAATGTACAAACTCCCATCTAAAATATTTGTTTTCTTCATTGACAGAAAAGTCACCAACCATAGTTTCAATATTTTTTGTTGTTCCAACTAAACTTTGGTATATTTCATTGACATATGTTTTATCTGCTTTTGTCTCTAAGGTTTCTTGTAAGTTTGTAATATTTGCAATGGTATGTGTATGTCCAACGTCACTTTTCCTGTTTAAGGTTTCTTGTAAGTTTGCAATATTTGCAATGGTATGTGTATGTCCAACGTCACTTTTCCTGTTTAAGGTTTCTTGTAAGTTTGTAATATCAGATATAGAATGTATATGAGTCTTTTTAGAATATTCTTTGTCAGCTCTTGTCACTTCACTTGACATTTTATTGTCAACATATGTTTTGTCCGCTAGTTCAGGATGAGTATGTTCTTTCGTTGCATAAGCTTTGTTAGCTCTTTCTTCTTCTTTTGCTATTGCATCGTCTACATACTCTTTGTCAGCTTTGTTGTCAACATCTGCTTTCAAAAGAAGTTCATCTATAGGTTTCTCGTTTAAAGTTCGTTTTGTTGGATTTATACAAACAGTATGGTTCTTGTTGTCTTGAAACAGAAACTCATCTGTCATTGGGTTTATTGTCAGTTTTAAGTTTCCTTCTTTCAATGACTCAGATATCTTAGAATAGTTTGAAAAGTTTGTTGTGTTCTTATTTAGAGCTTGTATAATGAGTTGTCGGTTGTGTTGTATTTCTCTCATAGACGCTGTTTCATTTGACATTTTTATTCTAGATAAAAAATGCTTCCAATAGAAAAGGAAACTTCTAGAGTTGCTACAACTAAACCATTAGATGAACTTTTTACGAATGTCGGTCAAAAGTTTGAGACAGAGACCGTAAAGCATGAAGGCTATCGTTTTGACTACCCGTTAAGATGGCTAAGAGACCCATCTGTCACAAAAGCTATTGGCTTTCGTAGAATGAAGTTCATTTCAGAAGCCATACATGGTTTCCCATTTACGGTCGGTTTTGAAGTTCGATACTATAACAAAGAAAAACGTACGTATGAGAAATTTGAACAGGGAAAACTTTTACAAGTGAATTTGCTTGTAAACTTAGAAACAACTCTTCAAGCTTTTCAAGAAAAAATAAACGATATCTATCTCGAATATGCAAACCAGTTTAACATTGACGAAGGAGAGTACCATCTCGATATTATATATGACAGGAAAAATGCAACTGTTAAAATCGATAGAATAGAAGACCTTGGAGAAAACGTTTATATTTCTACAAAATATAACAACTTGGCATGGTATAGATTTTTGAGGATGTTAAATCAGCCTGCAGAATATCCAGTACACCCGGACTTTTATGAAGTCTCAAACCCTAATGGAACATATGAAAATGTTTTCGACTCAGATGCTATTATAGTTCATGCTTCATTTTCTGGTGCGCAAAACTCTTTTTTATGCTTGGCAAATGACTTTTACGAAAAACCTACAAAGCTATATGAACCACCAAGTGGAAGTATTTCAGACTTTCAAGTATGGTTTACTACAGATGGAAGAAAGAGAATAGTTCCATTATACCATGCGTTTTACTTAGAACTTAGTTTCATATACAACTACTATCGAACGGTAAAAATATAATTTTTTAATACGGTTGAGGTGTTGGATTTGGTTGCCAACTTGACTGTGGTGCAGGTTCAGGCTGTTGTATAACAGGAGCTTGTTCTTCTGGTTCAGGGTCTTTAGGTATAATACCAACGAACTGACCTACTCTTTTACCAATATTTTTGACACCGTTCCAAATTCCTCTTCCGACAGATTTTATTCCATTCCATATACCTCTTCCAACATTTCGAAAGAAGTTTCCTATTCTTCCAAAGAAACCCATTTTACTATATGTAAAAATCTAATGTCCGCCTAGTCTCTTACGTTTCCTGTTGAGTTCCATAGCATTCTTTAACTGGAGCTCATACATTCTATTTCTCCTCTGGTAGAAAACATACTCTGGGTCAACTCCTGTGTTCGCGTCATCTGCATAGAGTTGTTTATATCCCACTTCAGGGTTTGTATAAAACTCTTTCCATCTCATATTTGCATACCATGGTGGTAAGCCTAACGCAGCGTCATTTGACATGGCAGTTTGCATTTGTACATCTGTTGGCACTTGACCATAGTTTGCCATTGCAGTTTGTACTCGAACTTCATTTGGAATATTCTCTGGGTTTGGTTGTCCGGGTTTCTGTGCATTCGCTAAGTTCTGTGCGTCCATTTAATATTAGATAAAAATATCTCTTACGAGTACATATACTGGACATTTGCAGGCAATGGTTCATCTTCATATTCTCTGTACTTTTCTGCCACGTCAAAGAAATAGATGACACAATGGAAAAAACCTAAAACAAGTAGTCCTATTTCAAACCACATTTACTTACTAGTAAAATTTCTTTGTTATGACACTTTCTCCGGTTTATAGGACCTCTCTCATATTCTATCTTGTCATATCTAAACTCATAGTCATGTATGTCCTCTAACCATCTCATAACGGTTTCCAAACCACTTTTATCGGATGTAAAGTAAAAGCATGGATGGTTATGTATAACGTCTAAAGTTTCTAAAGAGTCTCTCAAAGTCCAGTCTACTTGGTATTGAAAATCGTATGTGTTATAGAACGGCGGGTCCACTATAAAGAAAACATTTTCCTTGTCTTTGTATTTTTCATACAACTCTGTCCAATGACATCTCACAAACTCTATACCCTCAATATATTTTTCTATGTCCTCTTTGAAAACCTTTGTATAGTTAAGATATAAAACGTTTGACATAAGTGTTTCAATGTCATGAACTCTTATAGAACCACTATATAATAGTCTAGCAGATATACTATCCCAGTCAATATACTCTGCTTTTTTCAAAACCTCTCTCACAATATTTTTCTTATCTAATGGTATACGTTCCATCTTACCTATAGGTATCTTTTCTTTTAACTCACTCAATATTTTGTTTGTGTCTGGTATATGTTTGAGACGGTTCATATAGTTGTCGAAGTCATTGCATATAATCTTTGAGTCAGGAAATACAGTATGGCACAGATGGGATATATAGAAACTTCCACCGAACAAATCTACAAATGTTAGACCATTCGGTAGTTTCTTAAGTTCTCTCAATAGAATATCTTTACATCTACTCTTATTTCCAAAGAAGGGTAACGGTGGTTTTGTAAAATTCATTTTATATATATATAATAAAAATGTTTTTTCCTGAAAAAGTGACGAAACATGAAAACTACTCGGTCGAGGTCTTGTCAGTTTTGTAAAATAACCGTCCTATCTCATTCTAAAGTTTCTAAAGAGTCTCTCAAGTATACTTCTTTGAACGCCCGTAACTTTACTGTAGCGACGATAGACCCTTACTTGTCCGGACATAGTTATACTATTTTGAGTCCTCTACCGAAAAGTCAACAGCAACGACTTTCAAAAATTTTAAGGGCTAGAAGGCACGAAGTGCCTGGGAAGCCCCCTTCACCCAAAAAAACCTCATTTTATACCTCATTGCATACTAAACATCTTTGGGGCTAGAGGGCACGAAGTGCCTGGAGGCCCCACTACCTTTTTTTTTTTTTTTTTTGAATAGTAAAATTAGACACCATTCAACACAGGGATTGTTAATATAAGAGAAAACTAATATCTATAGATTTATAAAAGTGACAACTTTACAAATCCTCAGAATATTAGGCCACGTGTCGCTTTTGGTCGTCCTTTTTGTAATGGGTGCTTCTAAACAGCAACGTCCAAAGACATCAAAGAAGATAAAGCAGGATTCTTTCATCAAGAAGGAATGGCGCCATGTCATGGTCCCAGCCTACTTCACAGGCAAGCACGACATTGGTGTTACAGTTTCCAACAAATGCGCACGTGGCCGTGTTCCAATGGACTACGTCAACAACCGTGTTTGGGAACTTTCCCACGCTGACATGGTCAACGACCTTTCTCACGCTTACAGACTCTTCTCATGGAGATCAATCGCCGCCGGCTCTGAAGTTTACACACAGTTCGCTGGCATGCGCCTTACACACGATAAGCTCGACTCCATCATGAGAAAGTATCGTACATTAATCAATGCTTCAGTCGATGCTAAGACAGCTGATGGCTTCATCCTCCGCCTCTTCACTGTCGGCTTCACAAAGAAACTCGCCAACTCCCACAAGAACCATACATATGCCAACTCCCACAAGGCTCGCCAAGTCCGCGATGTTATGGTCAAGTGCCTTACAGATGCCTGCGAATCTAATGGCGTTGAGCAGCTTTGCAAGGACTTCGTTGATGAAAAGATTGAAAATGAAATTGTTGAGAAATGCAAGCAAATCTGCCAGATTGAAGGTGTTTACATCACCAAGGTTAAAGTCATCAAGGCTCCAGCTCTTTCTAACGAGCAGGTCAAGGTCCTTAAGATCTCTAAGGATGCAGCTCAGCTTTCACTCGCTCCAACAGAGCGTCCAGCTGAAGAATAAAATTTGTTAAAGATTTTATAATCTTTAACATGTTGGAATATATCACTTACTTTTTTTTCAAAGAATTTGAAGCTTAATAATAGCTATGTAAATTTATTTCTTATTCATATCCTTGCAAGGAACAAATCGCACAATAGAATCATAATATCATCATTCGGAATCATCAAAACATTGTTAAATGGTCGCATTTTTTCAAATATTTATCAAAGATTGTTTCCTTAATTCCAGACACATGCTTCATTTGACATTGACAATGAGCATCTTTAAAATAAAGTAGATTTTTACATAAGAATATAGCGTTTATAATAATTAAAATATAAAAATTAAAACATTTTCAATTAAAGTGCGCTTTGGAGGTAGGCATAGGATGGAGTGAGGATCATATTGTAACTTTCAAGAACCTTGTCAGCTGTTTCATTTCCAGATCCTACTCTATCTCTGTTGTTCAAGTTGGTCAAATCAGTCAAAACTTGCGTAGCATTATACAACGAATCCCAAACGTTGTTAATAAGCTTTATAAGTTTCTCCATGTCCTCCTTTTTCATGTTGAAAAGTTTGTCATCTTCTTTATGATCAATTCGCGTCTTGTACATCTTGACGAAAGCCAAAGGAGCTGATGAAGGATTTTCTTCCAATGTCTTGGAAATCAATCTCATCAAGAGCTTTGTGTTTAGCCATAATGACCATTTCGTCCACATATGTTCCAGCTTCTTTGGAGGCATGACAGCTCTGAATTCTTCGACTTGTGATGTAATCTCTTCATAGTATTCATTCAAATACATCATGTAATACTGCTTTCTCGTGATCTGGGTCGTTGTATGAACACCAATTTCAGCATTGGAGACCATTCCTGGCAAGTATGTATTTGTGAATTCATTCGCTTTAAGTCCCTTCTTTCCTGTGATGAATTGATGCCTAATTACGTAGACATCATCCCAGTCCTTCTCTTCTTTGAGAACATCTAATGTGAAATTGCAAACTTTCAAGTTTTCCATGTCGATTTTGTCGGCATCAACAGGAATCATCTGAATGTACGATTTATTCTTCTCGAAAATGATTTTCTTTTCATCTTCAATGAACAATGGATCTTCAGAGCACCAAATGATATCAAGATAAGCCTTTGTGATCATATCCTTGAAGTCTTTTTCTCCTCCTTTTGGAAGTATCTGGATTGTATTCTTTCTCTTCAAATCAGTTCTTATCTGTCCTCTGAAACAGACCAAGTAGAAGAAGTGCTTCTGTTGGTTTCCTTTTTCAAGATCATTATACAATGCTCCATATGAATTGGCAATCTTCATGTAGACTTCAACCAAAGTATCAAACATTCTGTGATTTTCAAGGTATTTCAAATGATGTTCAGTGATTTGGCCAATGATCCAGTTGAGATTGGCCTTTTGACAGAGTTCCATCGCCTTTTGCATCTCTTGGAAGAAAGATTGTTCGGTGAACATATCTCCTTCTAAAAGAAGATAAGCTGTATCCTGCAAAATACTGAAATTAGTCTTGGATTCGTAGTTGTCATACAAAAATGGAAAATCTTCACTTCCACTGAGAGGAATTCCATCAACAACTTGGTCTCTGAGTTTGAAAACATTTGCAATCATTGCACAAATTCTCCATTGGCAAAGGAATGCAGCTAAAAAGTCGCCGTTTTCTTCATTAATCTTTTCCATCTGCTTGACAACCAAATACATTGCACCTTGGACATTTTCAACATAAGTGAAGTTGTGCTTCAAGTTTTCAACGTTCTTGAAGTAAATCAATGATTCCTTCCATGCGTATTTCAAGGAAGGAATCATTTCGTTGATAATTCTGAAATCTTTCGAGATATCAGTAGCCTTGAATTCGAAATCTGGATTCTCGAAAAGTGATTTCACGCAAGCGAAAATGAAACCAATGAAACAACGCAATGCCCTCTTCTTTGATTTGTCAACGACAAGCTCAAGATTGACTATCCATTTGAGAAATGCCATTGCTGTAATTCTTGCCATCGCAACCTTTCTTTGAGTGCAGGAAACAACAGAACAAAGAATCGTCAAGATATGATTTGTTTTGTCTATGAAAATGGCCTTCGCAAACTTGTTAACAACGAATGCAAGCGAAGTAAAGACAATTGGAAACGCTTCAGAATCTTGTGTTGGAGAGAGCATGTGAATGATGATCTTTAAAATTGATAAGATCTGGCGTGGATTTGACAATGTGTTAATTTTCTCTATGAAATGAAGGAAAACTAACATTCTGCATGTAACTTCAAGAGAAATGGTGAGTTTGACAGAATCCAAGCGACTCCTAAGTTGAGAATCATTATTAACAACAGCTCTTTCAGAAAGTTTCTCAATGATTGTTTCTTCTGAGAGACTTACAAAATAATCAAAGAACCTGAGCTTGTTATCATCGCTCAGAATGTTGAAGTACTTCATGAACTGAACAGATTTGACATTCTTGCAGATGTGGAGAATGAAAGGAACTAATACAGGATCTGTTCCGAGATGAGGAGCGAGAGAATCAGCAAATGTGAATATCAAAGTGAAAAGAGGGAAGAAGTACATAGCAATAGTCTTTGATGTTGACGAATCTGAGTAAGCTTCAATAGAAACTCCAAGCAAACCAATTGCTTTGAGAGCAGGTTCAATCTCTTTTAAGCTGTTCGCAAGGAATGTGTCGCGAACTGTGGCATAAAACAAAGAAAGAATTGGAATGTATGGAGATACATTAATGTTTTCTAGCAATGGTTTCGTCAATGTGAAAATTGCCATTATAAATGGTGGATCAGAGAACAATATCCTGAAAATACAGAGCCTTTCTTTTGTATTAAGCGCAAATATGAACTTCCTTGCAAGTTTGATTACAACAGCTGGAGCAAATCCCATTCTCAGCTGCCTGATAAACTCACCGGCAGCTTTTTTGATGTTCAATGGAACTTGGGAATGTGCTGTTGCAATGAGAAGCTCTTCAATCTCATCTGGAAAGAATTGACGATTCGATATCATTCCTTTGAGAGCAATTAAGAAGAAAGGTAACGGAATGGCTCCAATATCCATGATTTTATCTTTTAATAACTTCAAATATGCAGCAGAGAATGTATCAGGACATGTGAATGCATGCTCAATCCACTTGTATAACCATGATTGGTCGCAGTTCTCGAGTCTTTCTGCCAAAAGTGTGAAATCTACTTGAGGCATGACAATTGGATCAAAGCAGTATTGAATCATATACTTTGCAACATCTTGCCACATTGGATGCTTATAATCTGGGCCTGCGGCTTGCTCGAGATCTACAGAATTTACCTTTGTAAGAGATCCGGATGGCCTGATTCCTGAACCACTGCATGATTCAGCAATTGACTTCTTAGGTGGAGAAATAAGAGATAAAATGAGCTTTTTGGGAGGTGCAACAATTGTTGGAAAATGATACGAAAAACTGATCGAGCCTGCAGATCCAGAGAAAATTGAACTGCCTTTGAGCTTGAATGTTCCTGTATAAACGGGTTCGCTAATTGGAACAACACATTCAGCGATAACTTTTGTCTTTCCAAGATCAACCGCATGAACTTCTACGTATATTTCGAGTGGTATTGAATGTTCGTAACTTGAATTAAGCTTGAAGTTGCACATGCAAGGGAAATTCATGATATCACTTGGATTCAAAGTTGAAGTATTGAATGACGATATTTCTGATAACATGTTAGCTCTTGCTGCAGTATTCAGAACTTTTGGACTTTCTTCGTGAGTTCTTATCATGAAATTTACATATAATTGAAGACCTTTTTGAACAATATCATGAGTTGGACAAAGCCTTATGTTATGAATTGTGAGTAGTGTTGTGGGATACATCGGCTGGAATGCAGTTATTCTCACAGGTCTCTTATCTTCAGGAAGTTTTGTCTCGAGGTCGAAACTGAACACTAAGTTGAACATTGGATACTTCTTATCACTCTTGAAGTACATATCCATAGAAAGTGCAGGACTAAAGACAACCCATTCAAGATTGAATTGTCCACACTTAATTTCTGAAATATACTTATGTCCAATTGCTATAGGCTTTTCAATTGGATCCCTATCTGCTTTCTCAACGTATGAAAGCACAGCAACAATCCTAGATTTTGGATCGTCAATGTATGGGAGATAAAAGTCTTTGTGATCGCATTTAAATGTGCATGCCTCTGGAGTTCCACGGCAAAAATCTATTCTCACAGTTTCGCTTGTTGGAAAATCGAGATATGAGAATAATTCGATAAAAGCAGAACTTCCAACGCCTGTTTTGCCGACTATTTCATATTTAGTTATATGCAATAACTTGATCGTTTCATAGTTATCAGAGAACTTATATCTCTTCCTTGCAATTATTTGTTCATATTTCGAATCAATAATTGGGATAGAGACATATTTAGCTTCATATGAAGTAAACTCAAGATCTTTTTCGAATTTTTGAACTGTTAATGGAGCAGTATCATCGGGCTGCTTTTCTGTTAATAAATTTTCAGAAACACGATTTAATGCGAGAGCTTGATTTGGATGAATATCTTTTGGTGCAATATATGAATGAGTTGTACCTCTTGCGATTGGTTTCAACCAGGAGAGTTCATCGAGTTCTTTATCTGTTAAAAACATGAATCGAGACTGATTCGAAATAGGAACAGCCCGAATGGAACTACTCATAAGCATATTACTCCCTTCTAAAGTCTGTCTCCTATTTTTTTGCTCCTTGAACCTAGCAGGGATCATGCCTATTTATTGCCACTTTTTTAAAATATAAAATTCATATTTCGTAGTTTTAAAATACAGCTTTATCTGAAGATTATTAGAATTAATTTTTTATGTCAGAAAAATGTAAGAGTAGGGGTAATTTTAGCTAAAAGTGACACACCCGTGAAGGGTGTGATTACCGATCGGTAATTTCGACAGTTTAGAATTTAAAATTTTTTATGGAACTGTTGCGAGTTTCATAAAGAATTTAAGGAATATAAGCAAAGATTTGAATCAAAATCTTAGACCTAAGCCGCTCGATTCGCTCGCGGCTTCCGCGAATTACAGATCAGCAAAGATTTGAATCAAAATCTTCGAACTAAGCCGATCGCTTCGCTCGCGGCTTTCTTTATTATTTTAAATTTGCATATTTCCATCAAAAGTTCATAAGGTAAAAAATTTCGTTTATTTTTACTAAGAAAAAAAAAGGTTTTTGATAATAAATTTATTTTATTTCGAAAAAGTAGCAATAATCGTAAAAGGGTATTGATAGGCTTGCTAAAGTAACTAATTTTAGCTGTCAAATACTTTTGTATTTTGAAGTAAATTAGTATAAATTTGTTTTTACTTTTATTTCGAAAAAGTAACAATAATCGTAAAAGGGTATTGATAGGCTTGCTAAAGTAACTAATTTTAGCTGTCAAATACTTTTGTATTTTGAAGTAAATTAGTATAAATTTGATATTATTTTAACTCCCTTTGAAAACCTCAATTTTCCATACAGAGGGAACGGGAATAGCATCCAATATTCCCTGAGAATGGTTGCGCATTCTCAGTTCCCTCTATATTTCGAACGAAGCTCTCATCGGTCTTTTTTTTTAATACTAAACGTTTTTTTTCCTGTCACTTTTAGCTAAAATTTGGGTTTGCCAAAATGTAATGGATTTTTGAGCAAGGAAATAAAATTTTATAAAAAGAAAATGATGTCACACATATAAATGTAATTTTACAGAAGAGGGGACTGGAAAATATAAAATTCCTCTAAAAAAAAAAAAAAAAAAAAAGGTAGTGGGGCTTCCAGGCACTTCGTGCCCTCTAGCCCTGAAGATGTTTAGTATAAATGAAGTTTTTATTCGGAAAATTGTTAGTCTTCTGGTGTGAATTCGGAGGACTCTTCTTCTTCCTCCATTGCTTCTGGGAAGAAGCCTTCTTCTGGGTCGAAAACATTATATAATGTGTCGCTTTTCACAAATTATATATGTTTTCATGTTTTGTCACTTTTCTGTCACTTTTCAGGAAAAAACATTTTTATTATTATATATAAATGAATTTTACAAAACCACCGTTACCGTTCTTTGAAAATAAGAGTAGATGTAAAGATATTATATTGAGAGAACTTAAGAAACTACCGAATGGTCTAACATTTGTAGATTTGTTCGGTGGAAGTTTCTATATATCCCATTTGTGCCATATAATATTCCCAGACTCAAAGATTATATGCAATGACTTCGACAACTATATGGACCGTCTCAAACATATACCAGACACAAACAAAATATTGAGTGAGTTAAAAGAAAAGATACCTATAGGTAAGATGGAACGTATACCATTAGATAACAAAAATATTGTGAGAGAGGTTTTGAAAAAAGCAGAATATATAGACTGGGATAGTATATCTGCTAGACTATTATATAGTGGTTCTATAAGAGTTCATGACATTGAAACACTTATGTCAAAAGTTTTATATCTTAACTATACAAATGTTTTCAAAGAGGACATAGAAAAATATATTGAGGGTATAGAGTTTGTGAGATGTCATTGGACAGAGTTGTATGAAAAATATAAAGACAAGGAAAATGTTTTCTTTATAGTGGACCCGCCGTTCTATAACACATGGGATTTTCAATACCAAGTAGACTGGACTTTGAGAGACTCTTTAGAAACTTTAGACGTTATACATAACCATCCATGCTTTTACTTTACATCCGATAAAAGTGGTTTGGAAACCGTTATGAGATGGTTAGAGGACATACATGACTATGAGTTTATATATGACAAGATAGAATATGAGAGAGGACCTATAAACTGGAGAAAGTGTCATAACAAAGAAATTTTATTAGTAAGTAAATGTGGTTTGAAATCGGACTACTTGTTTTAGGTTTTTTCCATTGTGTCATTTATTTATTTGACGTGGCAGAAAAGTACAGAGAATATGAAGATGAACCAATGCCTGCAAATGTTCAGTATATGTACTCGTAAGAGATATTTTTATCTAATATTAAATGGACGCACAGAACTTAGCGAATGCACAGCAACCTGGACAACCAAACCCAGAGAATATTCCAAATGAAGTTAGAATACAAACTGCAATGGCAAACTATGGTCAAGTGCCAACAGATGTACAAATGCAAACTGCCATGTCAAATGACGCTGCGTTAGGTTTGCCACCATGGTATGCAAATATGAGATGGAAAGAGTTTTATACAAACCCTGAAGTGGGATATAAACAACTTTATGCAGATGACGCGAACACAGGAGTTGACCCAGAATATGTTTTCTACCAGAGAGGAAACAGAATGTATGAGCTCCAGTTAAAGAATGCTATGGAACTCAACAGGAAACGTAAGAGACTAGGTGGACATTAGATTTTTAATATAGTAAAATGGGTTTCTTCAGTAGTATTGGAAACTTCTTCAGAAGAGTTGGAAGAGGTATATGGAATGGAATAAAAACCGTAGGAAGAGGAATTTGGAACGGAGTCAAAAATATTGGTAAAAGAGTAGGTCAGTTTGTTGGTATTATACCTAAAGACCCTGAACCAGAAGAACAAGCTCCTGTTATACAACAGCCTGAACCTGCACCACAGTCTAGTTGGCAACCAAATCCAACACCTCAACCGTATTAAAAAATTATATTTTTACCGTTCGATAGTAGTTGTATATGAAACTAAGTTCTAAGTAAAACGCATGGTATAATGGAATTATTCTTTTTCTTCCATCTGTAGTAAACCATACTTGAAAGTCTGAAATACTTCCACTTGGTGGTTCGTATAACTTTGTAGGTTTTTCGTAAAAGTCATTTGCCAAGCATAAGAAAGAGTTTTGGGCGCCAGAAAATGAAGCATGAACAATAATAGCATCTTGGTCGAAAACATTTTCATATGTTCCATTAGGGTTTTCGACTTCATAAAAGTCTGGGTGTACTGGATATGCTGCAGGCTGATTTAACATCCTCATAAATCTATACCATGCCAAGTTGTTATATTTTGTAGAAATATAAACGTTTTCTCCAAGGTCTTCTATTTTATTGATTTTAACAGTTGCATTTTTCCTGTCATAAATAATATCGAGATGGTACTCTCCTCGTCAATGTTATACTGGTTTGCATATTCGATATAGATATCGTTTATTTTTTCTTGAAAAGCTTGAAGAGTTGTTTCTAAGTTTACAAGCAAACTAACTTGTAAAAGTTTTCCCTGTTCAAATTTCTCATACATACGTTTTTCTTTGTTATAGTATCGAACTTCAAAACCGACCGTAAATGGGAAACCATGTATGGCTTCTGAAATGAACTTCATTCTACGAAAGCCAATAGCTTTTGTGACAGATGGGTCTCTTAGCCATCTTAATGGGTAGTCAAACGATAGCCTTCATGCTTTACGGTCTCTGTCTCAAACTTTTGACCGACATTCGTAAAAAGTTCATCTAATGGTTTAGTTGTAGCAACTCTTGAATTTTCTTTTTCTATTGGAAGCATATTTTATCTAGAATAAAAATGTCGAAAGATATTGCTTCCATGAGAGAAATACAACACAACCGACAACTCATTATGCAAGCTCTAAATAAGAACACAACAAACTTTTCAAACTATTCTAAGATATCTGAGTCATTGAAAGAAGGAAACTTAAAACTGACATTAAACCCAATGACAGATGAGTTTCTGTTTCAAGACAAGAAGAACAATACTGTCTGTATAAATCCAACAAAAGGAACTTTAAACGAGAAACCTATAAATGAACTTCTTTTGAAAGCAGATGTTGACAACAAAGCTGACAAAGAATATGTAGACGATGCAATAGCAAAAGAAGAAGAAAGAGCTAACAATGCTTATGCAACAAAAGAACATACTCATCCTGAACTAGCAGACAAAACATATGTTGACAATAAAATGTCAAGTGAAGTGACAAGAGCTGAAAACGAATATTCTAAAAGACTCATACACATTCTATATCTGAAATAACAGACTTAAACGTTAGCCTTGAAATAAGGTAGATAAGGGACTTATGGCTAGTGTGTTTAGAAAGAAAGCGGATAAGGAATATGTGGATGAAAAAGATAACGAAATGAAAGAAAGGGTTGACTGGTACCATGAATGGACATCGAAGATTTTAAAAAACTAAAGCCGATACAGGATGGGTTTCAGATGTTTAGACCTTAAAGCAGATAAAACTTATGTTAACGATGAGTTAGAGAAGAAAGCAAATAAGAACCATACACATACAAGTTTTACAACTGTTGCTATAGAAAGTATTGAAGGAACGGTGAAGAAACTGGTGGGGATGTATTATATTGTAAACCTCCTAACTTTCCACAAGGTTTAACATCGGATGACGACATAACGACGATGAGAAACATTAGATGTAAAGATGTTTATGTCATGAAGGATGAACATAATATATAAATTCACTGCTCAAGATTTATATGACAAGAAAGCAGACAAAACAGAGCTTCAAACATTAAAGACAGAAATGCTTCAAACATTATATCCTATAGGCTCTATTTATACGTCAATGAACTCTACCAGACCAGAAGTAGTACTTGGTTTTGGAACTTGGACTCAAATAGTCGACAGGTTTTTGTATTGGGCAAACTCTTCAAAGGAAACAGGTGGAAGTAAAACGATTTCAGGTGAAAATTTACCTGCACATAGTCACTACATAGATTTAAGTACATCTCAAGCAGGTTGGCATAAGCATAGATATTGGGATTGGTCAGCAATGACAAAAGGTAAAGGATATGATGTTAAAGACAACGTTAAGT